TACACAAAAAATACGTTGGGGACCTAATATGGACAAATGGAAAATGTTATTACCCTCCTAAGTTATTATCCTATGAAACTATAAACCCCTATAATAAATTTTTACTTTTTAAATAAGAAACTTATAGGTCTTGGGGTTGGTAGTTGGGATGTTTTTAACCTCGACCTTCTTTATAAATGAAAGTGGCGGTTTCTTAATGACAATGGACCTCTTCGGGTTAAAATTGTCAAATTTTGTCATGGGGAAGGTGGTGTTTTTTCGGACGATTCGAGAATAGGAATTGGAGGGGGTGTTTGGCAATAGATTGTAGGATCCATTAATCACCTCCATACGAATGGTTGTATTCCTTCTAATTACATGTATAGAGTGGTGGGGGATGAGACTCAAATGAGGTTCTACAAGGATGTTTGGTGCTTGGATATTCCTCTTAAGGAGCGGTTCAGGAGGCTCTTTGCTTTGGCCATTAATCAAGATGCTCGAGTAGCACCAAACATCATTCTAGAACCTCGTTTGAGTCTCATCCCCCACCACTCTATACATGTAATTAGAAGGAATATAACCATTCTCATGGAGGTGATTAATGGATCCTACAATCTTTTGCCAAACACCCCTCCAATTCCTATTCTCGAATCGTCCAAAAAACCACAACCTTCCCCGTGACAAAATTTGACAATTTTTACCCGAAGAGCTCGATTGTCATTAAAAAACCGCCACTTCTATTTATAAAGAAAACCGATGTTAAAAACATCCAAACTACCAACCCCAAGACCTATAAGTTTCTTATTTAAAAAGTAAAAATTTATTATAGGGGTTTATAGTTTCATGGGATAATGACTTAGGAGGGTAATAACGTTTCTCGTTTGTCCATATTAGGTCCCCAACGTATTTTTTGTGTATCTTACACCATTAAGGTTGTTATAACCGTTTATAAATAATCCTTTTACCGGCTTCTTCCTGTTAAAAAAACTATTTGTAAACGGTTATAATAACCTTAATGGTGTAATACGCACAAAAAATACGTTAAGGATCTAAAATGGACATACACAAAACGTTATTACCCTCCTACGTCATTATCCATATTTATAATTAAATATTCTTGTTCTGTCTATCCAAATGTATGTGTTTGAATGGATAGGTTAGTTGGAAGTTGGATTTGATATTAATGGAACCTTAACGTACACCTTTGATGTATAATCTTCACCAATTAACTGTAAACGTTTCATTTAACTTCATAAAAACGACGGAATTCGGTTTTAAATATATGGCGAACAATGTATCAGTGTGAATGCCGACCATATATATGCTGCCGTGTGGACTTTATGATCGTCAATTATCAATAAATGCATTTTGTTTTTTCTCGAGACAAAATTGTACACCAACATGACTCACTTGCATATCTGGCAGTCGGTAGGCATAATTGAAAGAGTAAATAAATGAAAATAATAAAATATATTAGTAAAAGAAGATGACTAAATTTTTTACCAAAAATGATGATTTTAGTTTTCTATAGCAAAAGATATTGTTTTTATATCTTGATGTTTAGTATAATCAATACATTTAAGTTTTTAATATGTTTTACAAGTTTTTAATACATACATAAGGTTAAAACACCATTGCGTTTGTGGTTTGGCCGATTTTATAAGATAATTTTGTAATGATCCCCTCAGTTTTTTAAACTGCATTTTAGTAAATATGTATTCACTTATGAATAATACCTCCCCTCTCTTTGGTCTGCCACCACCTCTGACACCGCTGTCACCACCACCCCGTCAATGAGATGAAAGTGGTCCTTACCTGAACCCGAAAAACTTAGAAACCGGTTAATGGAATTTAGTAGAATCGGATGAACCGGTTACGGTTCGATTCCAGGTGTGAGAGCGGGTTTAGTGGGTCTAAAAGCGAAATATAAAGATAGGTAGGGTGGATCCGGATACAGTGGATCTAGAACAAGAAATACCGAATTTTTTTTTTTTATACTTAATGTTTTGATATCTTATGTTTAGAGACGTGTATGTCACTCAATAAATAAGATGTTTTTGGAGTATAAAACTAAGGTCAACACTGAACTACAGTTTAATAAGTAAAAGCATCAATCCGTTTTAAAAATGGAACCATATCGCCAGTAGCGAATCTAGAACACAATATCACGTGGTTCCCAAATTAAGTACAACCGATAAAAAAATCAAATAACACTTGTGAGGGGTCGGGTCGGGTCGGCTACGATTTACTGAAATATAACTGAAAAAACCGATTAGCCACCACCAATTAAAATTTAAAAAAAAAAAAAAAAACGACTGAAATGTAATTGAAAAAACCGAACGATTTAATGAAAAGTTAGTTGATTATTACTGTATTGATACCTTATTGTTTGATAAAAACTATATCTTATATTTAACCATATATATTTAGTAGCACAAATATCTCATATAACTTATTTTTTGCCCATTTTAAAATGGTTTTTTAAGACACTTAAAAAAAAAACGAACTTAAGATAGATTCTATATTTTTTCTAAAGTAGTTCTTAATTTTTATGGTATATATAACATAAATGAAATTTAAATTTTATATAGGTCCTAAACCACTTTGTCATAAGCTAGATACGCTCTTGCATATGGCAAAGTAAATTCACTACTTTCATTCCTATAGTTTGCTATTATTTGTGATGACGATACCAACTTAGATTAATATCTATATGAGTTTTAACCCAATATGATTTTTTTTTTTTTTTTTTTTTAATTTTTACTTCAAAATTTTAAATAATTGTATATGTACAATATATATATATATATATATATATATATATATATATATATATATATATATATATATATATATATTGGTAAAGTGAATATACCTAACAACCTTATATAAGTTTAAGTACCTAACCACATCATACTACGTAATTTTGTATCATATATGCATTGTAATCACCCAAAGTTCTTAAAATTCAACCTCATAACTTGATTGTTTTCAAAATCTTTGGACCTTCACCATTATCTTACTTCAAATGACGTCTTTCTATCGGAGACCCCCTGGTGGGCTTCATATACTACCGTTGCAAATCAAATGGTGTAGGAGGAATATAATGGTGAATGTTTGAAAATCTTGGAAGTAAATCAAGTTAATGGTTGAAGTTTAAGAACCTTAGACGATTGCAATGGAAATATAATGCAAAACAATGTAGTATAATATGGTTAGGTACCTAAGCTTATATAAGGTTGTTAGGTATATTCACTTTACCCTATATATATATATATATATATATATATATATATATATATATATATATATATATATATATATATATATATATATATATATATATATATATATATATATATATATATATATATAGGGAAAGGATCAAATGAGAACGCCTAAAAGGTTGAGAACGCGAGAACAAATCTGGTACATTAAATATTTATAATATAAGGATCTCATTGTTAATTAATATAAAGAAATTAATAAATGAATTTAATTGTTTTTTTAATTAAAAAAAATATAAAAGGGTATTCAAGTAATTTTATGATGTCATCCAATTTGAATATATCAGGTAAGTTTGAAAATTAAAAGAAACCGTTCCTATGTTTTAGTAATCACAGTTAACTTCTAATGTTTTGGATGATTCGATCGTATCTTGAAAGAAAAATAGCGTCACAGATAAACGATCATACCACATTCGAGTAATACTGTTCATTCGGGAAGAGTTATTTTGCATTCTGAACTTTGTGAAGCGTCGTAGGTGGAGGAATGTCGTCGTTGATCAATCGAAGTGGAAGAAGTAAGTTTTCTAATCTTTATTGAATGTCAATTGACTGGAAAACGTGTGTATTAGTGTGTTTAGGTTTTTATAATGTGTACATTTGATGATTCTTAAAACCCTAGAAGTTGGGTGTTTCGTTTTTTCTTTATATCGTCGATTATGAACTGTAGTTATTCTTCATCTCTGATGAATGTTGTTTTAAATGTTTTGTTTCACAAATAACATGTTGGTGTATTTGATTGTTAAAATGAAAATGGTAATTATAGATGTGTTCTGAATTTACGGTATTGTGATTTTGAATGTGCTTAAAAATCAACAGTTTATGATTGTGTTTGATAGTTATAAAATGAATATACATGTGTAATCGTAGTCGACTACTTTGAACTGAAATAAGGTTACGTAAACCCAAAAATTAGGATTTTTTTACATCATAAGTAGCACAGGAAGAGTAATTGATGTTAGTATTCGATTGTGAATGTTTTTTAGTTAACAAATAATAGCGAATTGTGAGAATGTCATTCATTAATAATGATTACTTGTAAAATCCGATTGTGCGACAGAAGTACTTTTCTAGTATTAATCCTTGTTGTTGGTTTTATGTTTTGAATATAGTTAAAGTGATATTCAGTTGTGAATGGGTACTTTATTGAGTATGTATGTGGTTTTGATCATGTACATGATTTTGAATGTAAAGATTAATGATGTAGGAGTGCAAACTGTTTTATGTGGGTAAGTTAATTGCACTGTTTGTTTGTTGATGATTGTTGTAAACATTACTCTGATTTTGGGGAGAAGAGGAGTCATTGATGTTAGTATTCGATTGTGAATGGTTTTTATTAGAAAAATAATAACGAAGGGTATAAATGTGATTTATTACTACTGATTACTTGTAGAATCCGATTGTTTTTGAGACATAAGTACTTTTTCTATTATTATTCCTTGTTGTTGGTTGTATGATTTGTATATTGTTAATGACATAGTCATTTGTGAATATGTACTTTGTTGACTATGTTTTGTATGTTAAGAATAATGATCTATGAGTCCCAATTGTTTTACGTCAGTAAGTTAACTACACTGTTTGTTTATTGATGATTATTGTAAACATTCCTCTGTTTTTTGGGTATGTGTTTAATGTAGAATGTATAATGGATGATTATTTGAGTTGTTAATGTTTCAATTCTGAGTTATAAATGATTAAGGTATATTAATGCTATTATTAGGTAGAAAGAAAAGTGAGATGATATTACTAAAGACGGCATTCAGCAAATTCACTAATGAAGAATCCAATCCATTGCTTATTGATATTGAAGATGCAGACAATGAAGGAAACGAACTAGTACAACCTCAGATTAGAAGAGAAGGACAGAAGAAGTTTTCAACACCTAAGAAGAAAACTAAAAATCAAACTGGTGGTGATGATGATTATATGAAATTTAAAATTTTAAATATCAATTTGAATCTATAGTGATTATGTGTCTTATTTTTTGGACAGGTGTGGGGGAACGTGTTAATCGCACACCAGCTCATTCAATGCGAAGGGATCTTAAAGTTGTAGTTTTGAGCTCAGATTCAAGTAATGTACTTGTTTAGAAATAAATTTTTTTTATAGTTTGATGTTGTAGTTAGTTTTAATAACTTGTTTATTTTGTATTTATTAATAGAAAAAAACAGGAAACCCAAAGTCAATGTGAAGAAGGTTGATGGAGGAAATTCAAGGTTCTCTAAAGCTAAAAAAAATATATAGAAAAAAAGGTATGAATGATGATTTCATGAAATGTAACTTATATATTAAAGTATCTTCAGTGATGATTATGTTGTCTAATTATTGACAGGTTTCATTGAAAGTTATGACTTGACAGAAGACAGTGGACTAAATAGGGAAAATGAATTGAGAACAAAAAGACGTTTTGATAGATGTAAAACAAAAGGTGATGAAGTTGTTGTTATAAACTCATTTTCAGGTAGTGTTATTTTCTTTAATAAATTTAGTATAACATTGGTTTGGTAATTTATTTATAATCATTTATTGTGTTAAATTTGTCTTAATAGGAAAAGATAATGTTACTGTCAAGAACCTTGACGAAGATGAAGACTCTGATTTTGAGGCTGACATAACTGTGGTAACAAGGAAAAAGAGAAGCCATCATACTTCATTCAAAGATGATGACAAAGAAAATGTGAAGAAATTTAAAAGACAAAGGAATAAAGAAGGAAATGTGTTGAAGCCAAGAAAACATCCTAAAGTTGTAGCAAGTGGTGCAGAAGAAGCTAAGCGAATACAAGTACGGACATCTCCAAATGTTTTGTACAGTTGTATGCATAACCTTAGCAAGGAACAGGAAGCTTATATTTCTTCTATTGGTCTGGGGCATTTGTTGAAGATGAAAGTGGATGGGTGTGCATCAATTATGGGGCATTATATTGTAAGGAATTTTAACGCAGATAGGATGGTACTCAAACTTCATCATGGAGAGATACCAATCAATCGACAAGTTATTCACGAAATGTTGGGTCTGCCTCTGGGACATGTTACAATAAAGTCTATGCCTTATAGAGAAGTCACAGATGACACGATAACTATTTGGAGAAAACAATTCGAAGATGAAGATAATATTAGACCAAGGGTAGTTCAACAAGTTATTATGCAGTCAACATGTGCGGATTTAATGTTTAAAGTAAACATCTTTGTCCTGTTGTGTAATACACTAGGTCAGTCGATGAGCATGAGCACATGTGACCTGTCGATGTTATCAAAAGTGACGAAAGATCTGGATCTAAGTGACATTGATTGGTGTGGATATGTTTTTGATTGCCTTAAGGAGACAAAAAGTGCGTGGAATCCAAACAACAAAAAAGGATTCTATGTTGGGCCAATTATATTACCGCTGGTAGGATTTGTTTTAAATTAAACTGTCATTCAATATTTGTAGCCTTATGTGTGTAGATTCATTAAAGTGTATTTAAGTAAAACATTTTTTATATGTCTTTGTTGTAGTTGCTATACGTAGAAAGTGTTCGATACGATTCAGTGAAGATTGTACGATGCAGACCAGCAATATGTTGTTGGAGTTGTAACACCAATTTTTCAAACAAAATTTTCGATTTTTATAAAACATAATTCCATCAATATTCATAGAAACACCCCTTTTAATTGTTCAACAAAATAGTACAAAATCCCAAGATCAAAATGTCAAGCTCCAAACGTGTGTGTACGGATCAAGCCGGCGCCTTCCCACGGTCGTCACTAGTACCTGAAACAAATAACATCAACACTGTAAGCACAAGGCTTAGTGAGTTTCCCAAAATACTACATATAACACATATTAGCCACTCGAGGCTATAACTCTGTGGGTCCGTGCACCCAGACTCCGTGAACCCTCAGGTTCTAACTCTGTGAACCTTCCGGTTCTAACTCTGTAAACATGCACAGCATCAAACACATAAAAGTAATGCAGTACAACCCATAACATACATAGCATACAAATACTCTATCACATAACTCTGGTTACCTACTCAAGGTAAAGTATAGTGAGAAGACTCACCTCGCGTGTCTCGGTAAACCGTAACCCTGAAATCGCTAAACACTCGATCTGCCGAGCTGAAGTCCCCCTATAGCACAATACATCTCTAATTAACACTTTCCCAACTAGGGTTGACCCCACTATAACAAGACAATCTAGGTCAACGCTGGTCAACGGTCAACTTGACCGGACTCGGCGAGTGCACTATAGCGACTCGGCGAGTCTGAGCGCATTCACCAATTTCCCTGGAATCCTCTCTTGACACGTCGAGCATCCCCTCCCAACTCGACGAGTTCCACCTGGCACGAGTTGTGGGGCCACCACGACTCAACTCGCCGAGTCTCAAGAACAACTCGGCGAGTCCGGTTTGACTCAGTCCACCTGTCCATCCTGACTCCCCCCTTGACCCACTGAGTTCACTCATCCCAACTCGACGAGGCCACTCGTTGAGTGGTCGTGCAACATTCAAGCTACTCGCCGAGTCTGTTCTTCGGACTCGGCGAGTCCGTGCCATGCACTGACTCAATCTTGCTCTAAAGGCCAGATCCAGTCCACTACTCCATAGATCCAGTCCCCCCCATGCTTATTTAGCACGTAAAGTCATAATCTTGATGCACATATAACCTCTACATGACCATAAATGATGTTTTTGACTCAAATATTTCAACACAAGGTCAAGGACTCCATTTCCACCCATAAAGCTTGATGAGTGAGGCCCTCTGGACCTCTATGGATCCAGATCCATGGTCTCAACTCAAAGAGGGAACCAAAGGGGCACCAAATCACCCCATAAATGACCACATTAAGCCCTAAATTGCATCAAACTTCACCAAACAGAAAATGGTCCGAAAATAATACCTCTAGGTTGATGATCCAAGCTCCAAATCCACGAAATAGCAACCTCCTTTGCTTCTCTTGCTTAGGGCCTCCTTCTTCTTGCTAAACAACACACACAAGATCAAGATTGGCTCTCCTTCCTTCACAAAACGCTCAAGAACTCTAGGGACACTCTCTGGGGTTTGGGTGAGCACAAATGACGACCATAAGGCCCCTTAAATAGGCCTCAAACCCGGAGATTTAGGGTTTCATAACACAGCGCAGACTCGCCGAGTCCATACCCTGGACTCGCCGAGTCCAAGTGCGCACCCTCGATCAATCCCGCGTCCCTACTCGGCGAGTCCGAGCTCCAACTCGCCGAGTCTCTCTCACAATATATAAAAATTCAAACTTACAAGATACCTGGTAAAAATCCGGATGTTACAACTCTCCCCCACTAGAACTGGACTTCGCCCTCGAAGTCCCGCTCTAAAACAGCTCCGGATGCTGCTCCCGCATCATACCCTCCGGCTCCCAGGTCATCTCTGATCCCTTCCGATGTTGCCACTGAACCAATACCAGAGGTACCTCCTTGTTCCTCAAAACCTTGATCTTCCGATCCCTAATAGCCACTGGTCTCTCCGCATAATTCAGGCTCGCATCAACCTGAATATCCTCAAGTGGAACCACTGCCGACTCATCGGCTATACATTTCCTCAACTGCGATACATGAAAAGTGTTGTGAATCTGCCCCAATTCTACTGGTAACTCCAGCCGATAGGCTACCCGGCCTACCCTGGCGATCACACGAAACGGGCCAATAAACCGGGGTCCCAATTTGCCCCTCTTCCTGAACCGGATCACTCCTTTCCAAGGAGAGACCTTCAGGAGAACAAAGTCGCCGACCTGAAATTCCAGCTCGGACCGGCGTCTATCCGCGTAACTCTTCTGTCGGCTCTGAGCGGTCAATAACCTCTGCCTGACCAGTTGTATCTGCTCTGACGTCTGATTCACGATCTCTGTACTGCCCATTACCCTTTGCCTAACCTCTCCCCAACATATGGGAGTCCGACACCTCCTACCATATAACAGCTCAAAGGGCGGCATACCAATGCTCGAATGATAGCTGTTATTGTAGGAAAACTCCGCCAAAGGCAATACGAGTCCCAACTACCCCCAAAGTCCAATACACAAGCTCGAAGCATGTCCTCGAGTGTCTGTATCGTCCGCTCACTCTGACCGTCGGTCTGGGGGTGGTATGCGGTACTAAAATGCAACTTAGTACCCAACTCCTCATGAAATTTCTTCCAAAAACGGGAAGTGAAACGCACATCGCGGTCTGAAACAATCGAGATCGGCACCCCATGCCGAGATACAACCTCCCTCACGTAAATCTCCGCCAACTTCTCTGCTGAAGAACTCTCACTGATGGCAAGAAAGTGAGCGCTCTTTGTCAATCTATCCACAATCACCCAAATTGCATCAACTCCCTGGCAGTCCTCGGCAATTTGGTGATAAAGTCCATAGTGATCTGTTCCCACTTCCACTCGGGAACCTCCAATGGCTGCAACTTGCCATGCGGTCTCTGGTGTTCGGCCTTTACCCTTCGACAGGTCAAACACCTCTCGACAAACCATGCTACATCCCTCTTCATACAGGGCCACCAATACTCCTTCCTTAGGTCCAAATACATCTTCGTGGCCCCGGGGTGGATCGAAAATTTCGATCTATGAGCCTCCTCCAACAATGTGGCACGGGTACCGCCCACGAACGGTACCCAGATCCTACCCTGATAAGTCATAAGTCCTCGACTATCCGATATAAACTCGAAACCAACCCAACAACCCGCTCTCTCTTCTGCATCTCCGGACGCACGGCCTCTGCCTGAGCCCCACGAATGGCGTCCAGAACTGGAGCTATCACGGTCAATCTCAAACATACATCTCGCAGGGGAGTACTTCTCGCCCTGCGACTCAACGCGTCGGCTACCACATTAGCCTTGCCTGGGTGGTACAAGATCTCGCAATCATAATCCTTGACCACGTCTAACAAGATCTCGCAATCATAATCCTTGACCACGTCTAACCATCTTCTCTGTCGCATATTTAGGTTAGGCTGATCCATCAAGTATTTCAAGCTCTTATGATCCGTGTAAATCGTACAACGAACCCCATACAAGTAGTGTCGCCAAATCTTGAGGGCGAACACCACTGCCCCCAATTCCAAATCATGCGTGGGGTACCTCGTCTCGTGAGGCTTCAACTGCCTCGATGCATAAGCTATCACATGACCCTTCTGCATCAATACTGCTCCCAATCCTAGGATCGATGCATCACAGAATACCACGAAATCTTCCATACCTTCCGGAAGGGCTAATACTGGAGCTTCACACAACCTCTGGCGAAGCGTCTCAAAGGAGGTCTGCTGCTCGGGACCCCATGCGAATGCCACACCCTTCCGGGTCAATCTGGTGAGTGGAACCGCAATCTTGGAGAAATCCTTAATAAATCTCCGATAATACCCTGCCAACCCGAGGAAACTCCGGATCTCAGAAGGTGACCTCGGCACCTCCCACCTCATCACTGCGTCAACCTTGGCCGGATCGACCAATATCCCCTTCTGGTTAACGAGATGTCCCAGGAACTGGACCTCCCGTAACCAGAAATCGCACTTGGAAAGCTTTGCGTAGAGTTTCTCCGCTCTCAAAACCCCAAGCACCTCCCTCAAATGCTCCTCGTGCTGCTCGCTATATCTCGAATATACCAGAATATCATCAATGAAAACAATCACCGACCGATCCAACATCGGCCGACATACCCTGTTCATGAGGTCCATGAACACAGCCGGGGCATTAGTGAGCCCAAAAGGCATCACCACAAACTCATAATGCCCATAACGCGTCCTGAATGCTGTCTTCTGGACGTCCTCGTCCCGCACTCTCACCTGATGATAGCCCGACCTCAAATCAATCTTGGAGAACCAAGATGCTCCCTGTAGCTGATCGAATAAATCGTCGATCCTCGGCAGCGGGTAACGGTTCTTGACCGTCAGCTTATTCAATTCCCGGTAATCAATACACATGCGATGCGAGCCATCCTTCTTCTTCACAAACAAGATGGGTGCTCCCCACGGCGAGCTACTCGGCCGAATAAACCCCTTCCCCAGCAACTCCTGAAGTTGCGAGGATAACTCCTGCATCTCTGGAGGCGCAAGGCGATACGGCACCTTAGCAATAGGCGCGGCCCCGGAACCAAATCGATGCCAAACTCCACTTGCCTCGCGGGAGGCACACCTGGTAACTCTTCGGGAAATACATCTGGAAACTCCCGCACCACCGGAACTTCCTCCACAGAGCTCGGTCTCTCGGAGATCACTCGCGTATCCATCACATACGCTACATAACCCTTACAGCCCTGCTGTAAACACTGCCTCGCCCTAGCAGCCGAACAAAAGGCTGATCCAGAACGTGTACCCTCGCCGTATACTGAAAGAACTCCCCACTAGGATCTCGTATAGTCACCAGCTGTTGCTCGCAATCGATAACCGCACCGAATCGGCTCAACCAATCCATGCCCACTATAACACAGACATCACCCATCGCAATCGGAATCAGGTCGATCGGAAACTCAACCCCGAATATCTCCAATACACATCCCCTGAAGACCTCAGTAGCACAAATCACCCTGTCGGCGGCTATGGAAACCCGCAGGGGCCGACTCAATGTCCCCCGACTAACACTGATACGCTGACTAAACGCCAAAGACACAAAAGATCGACTCGCACCCGAGTCAAATAACACTAAAGCAGGTACAGAATTCACAAGGAAGGTACCAGCCACAACGTCGGGTGCAGCGCGGACCTCTTCCGCAGTCAGCTGGAAGGCTCTCCCCCGAGCCCTCGGTGCCTCGGCCTTCACGGGCCGACTCTCTGCAGCAGCAGCTCTGATGGCGGCGGGAGCAGACCCCTGAGATGCCCCGCGCAGCAGCGGACACTCCGCCTTCCGGTGTCCAGTCTGGTTGCAGTGGAAGCACACTGCAAATCCCTTGGGGCAGTCCTTAGCCATATGCCCCTCCTTGCCACATTTGTAGCAAGACCCTGCCCGACAGGCGCCATCGTGACCCTTGCCGCACTTCCCACAGGTGCGGCCCTTCTGGCTCCCGGGTCTGGGATCAGCGGGCTTGGCCCGCTTGGCTGCCGGCTGGGACTGTGCCGGCCGCCGATCCCTCCCCATAGACTCCGCCTCCTCCCTGGCCTGAGTCTCAAGCTCAATCTCCCTCTTCCGAGCATTTGCCTGAAGCTCGGCAAATGTCCGGTACGAGGAGTTCGCAGCGAACTCCCGAATATCCCGCCTCAAAATGCTCAGATAATGGCTCATACGTGCCTGCTCGGTGGACACGTGCTCAGGGAAAAACATCGCCCTCTCCTGAAACATCCTCGTAATCGCTGTAACTGACTCGGTACCCTGCTTGAGGGTCAGAAACTCCTGTGCCAGACGTTCCCTCTCCACCTGAGGAACGTACTCATCTCGGAACATGGAAGTGAACCTCTCCCAGGTCACTGCCGAAAGCTCAGTCGGTGTGAAATGCGCAGTCACAAACTTCCACCAGTCCTTCGCTCCCAAGCGAAGCTGGTTCAGCGCGAACCGAACCTTCAAATGCTCAGGGGACGAGCAAGTGAAGAAGCATCCCTCCATATCAGATATCCACCTCATAGCTGCCACCGGGTCCTGCGTACCATCAAACTCTGGTGGCTTGGTGTTGCTGAACTCCCTGAACAACATCGCATCACCTCCCTGGGGTCTTGCCGCAGCAATCGCTGCGGTAGCTGCTGCAACCGCAGCCTCAGAAAGAGCGGCATAGCGCTCGTCAAACGTCTCAATCAAAGCGGTCTTAATGGACCCGAACATCTCTGGTATCTCGGCTCTGATGACCGCAGCCACCTCCTCATGAATGATCTGTCGAATGTCCTCATCACTAGATCCGGCATCCTCCGGCATGTGTCGTGTCCTCACCATGATCAACCTCTGAAATACAACATGCGATAATTAGAATTCACTCGAACACTCTTACATTCAACAATCCACCCCTCCTTGATTCTTGGCATCCCCAGATTCTTATTTGAACTGTGTACCGCTCCGGTGCTTTTAGTAGTACGGGCCCAATACTACTGTCCGCACCGTCTCGGTACACACCCCAAATCGTCCTCTTCGGATCCCAGTCCCCAAGTACTCTATTATACTTAAATCTCTCTGAACAGATCTCACACAAAACCCTAGCTGCTACCTAATTACTCTCAGCGTCTCATAGCAGCTCACCATTCCCTAAGCTAAGGCATCACAAAACAGGCCACTCTAGCCCTATCAGCAATACCTAGCCTACTCTAGCATGCACACACATCACAGTAATAGTTATTACATAACAAAAGATATTTTGGGAATTCCCCGTTCGGGCGCTGACTGATCGTACACACGGAGATTTAGGGTTTCATAACACAGCGCAGACTCGCCGAGTCCATACCCTGGACTCGCCGAGTCCAAGTGCGCACCCTCGATCAATCCCGCGTCCCTACTCGGCGAGTCCGAGCTCCAACTCGCCGAGTCTCTCTCACAATATATAAAAATTCAAACTTACAAGATACCTGGTAAAAATCTGGATGTTACAGGAGTGTTGATAAACTACGTGAGCGAGAAAGAGTAGAGTGTAGGATAATTGGTCTGGGTATGGGTGAATTGCAAGATCCATTTCAATTCATCAATGAAGCATTGGGAACTGGTAATGTAGGGCAAGAAAAAGTTCAGGTAATATTTTATTGTATTGAACAATGCATATGAAATTTATTATTTGTTTATTTGGTATAGTATAAATTAATTACATTCATAAATTATTGATAGGGAAATGATGCAGGAGATGTAAGGTGTAAGGTAGTAATATAATATAATCATAACTAAATAATAAGTTATTAGTACAACAACTAATATTGTGTTGCTTTTCGTAGGGAAATCATGGAGATGATATTTTTAGTGGAAGTGGGGAAAGTATTGAGGTAGTTAACTACCTATTCACATTTGAATAATGAGTTTCTACAGTATTAATTAATACTAACTGGCATATTAATATTTTTATTTTGTTTGTAACATAATTCTATTATGGTGACCTAATTAGACAACTGTTTCAACAATAAAGGAGATGTACGACATGATATTGCAGCAAAAGAAAGTGTTGGAAGACAAAATAAATGATGTTGTCAAGAAATATCCTGATAATCAGTTGGTCAAAGAATGGAAAAACAAAGTAAATGATTTATTTACTGAAGTTTCTGCATCAGAGGAACCAGAACAATCTCAATGGTGGTATGATAACGAGGCTGAAATTGAACGTACGCTGATTCTAGCTACAACTAACAAACAGTTTGACAACTCCCCGTTAGCAAAATGTAGTATTCAAATGTCACAGGAATATGCAGATTTCGCGAATAGATCTGGAACAAAATCTTTTACGAATACACCACCATCTAAAATGGAAATGCCAATTCCTTTGTCTGTAGTACCATTCAACAAAGATGAACATTGGGTTAGTAGAAGAGGGTACAGGCCTCGCATGAAATCCGAATATCTGAAATCTCCTTACGTTATATGGGCTGTTGATATCATCAAAGGAGTTCCACGACAGGAAAAACGTGTAGCAGAATGGATATTCTCTCTCCAGGGAGATCCAAAGTAAGTTGCATTTAAAATATTTTTAAAATTACTTAATTTTATTGTTTGCTCATTAAAAATAGTATTAATTGTTCACGTCTATTGCAGTGATATAGTTTTCCACACTCTGGATGGGTTTCCTGCACAGAGGTTTCATATGGAAAGTTTTTTTCCAACATGTGAACTATTTGGCCATGTCATTGATTGTTGGAGTCAAGTGTTGAATTTTGATGAAAGTAAGCGTGCACCTGAATCGCCCCTGAGAGTTTATTGCAAGACAGATGTGACGGTATAAGTTAATATTGTTCAATGTTGATTATATTATTTTTTAAATACAAACATATAAAGAAGTTAATGAGTTTTTAAAAATCGATCACAGAATTCGTATCTAGAAAGTGGTTTAACAGAAAGTCAACGTAAAGATAAATTCATTGAGAATTTGGTGCTTTCTATTGAAGATATGGACGCAAGCCTATGTTTTGTTGGACTGGTAAGAGATATATCTCCACAGTTTACTTACATGTGTATTTATCATTGATCAAATATTAATATTAAATAAAGTGAATACAATTGTAATTAATAAACGTTGCAGCTTTTCCTACCAATCATCCGTTCCTTCCACATTTTCCTTTTTGTGATCAATCTACAACAACCAGAGTTTGTAATCGTTGACAACAGCAATGTTGATGATCCTGATGGTGAGAGATATGGTCAGTTGCCCCAAATCATTGTAAGTGATTAATAAAAATTACTTTACATACTTAATAAAATTTAATATGTGTTGACAATGTTTTTTTTTACATTTTCAGAAAGAGTACATAGTTGATTACTTAAAATCTCAGAATCATCCAAAAGCTGAGATGTTTTCACATGTGATGCCACATAGACTGGAAATGCCTTGGAGAACAATAAACAACAGCATTGATTGTGGTGTGTTTACGATGCGTCACATGGAAACATATATGGGGGGAAGTATGAATGAGTTTAAAGCTGGATTCAAGAACGAGTCCTCTGCACAAGATGATCAACTTGTTAAACTGAGGACAAAGTATTTATACAAAATACTTACTCATGAATATAATGTGCAAAAGGATTATGTGCTGCAAAAGGTTGATGAATTCCACAAGATTCCTTCAAAACAACATTCTCAAATGTTAGCCATTGCAAAGGAAGAAATTCACATGAGATTGGATGTTTTAAGTTAATTGTTTTAAAAAAGTAATTTTAGTTATGACTTTAATGGTTTCTTTTGGATGGATTAAAAACAATGCTTTTGTATGCTAAGGATGTTAACTTGGGTTGCTGTACGTACAATACTTACTTTTGGTTTGCTAATTTTAGTAATGGACTAGTGATATTTTAGTATTTATATTTTTACATTCACATTTGAATAATTAAGTTATCTTAGAAAATGATGATTAACATTGATGGTATAGTTTTACTGTATATTCAGTAATGATTCTAACTAACAAACATTTGTCAATATGCTATTATACTATGAACATACAATCAGAGTTTTTAATAGTTAAAGTGAACATATCTATATTATATAATGATTTTTGGTGGGTTTATATCTTAAAATAGGTTGTTATTTAAATATTGAATAATAGCATAAACACTTACTTGAAGTATTCCTACCATATTATACTTTAGTTCAACCTACATACTTACTTTTGGTTTGCTAATTTTAGTAATGGACTAGTGATATTTTAGTATTTTTATATTTTTACATTAACATTTGAATAATTAAGTTATCTTAGAAAATGATGATTAACATTGATGGTATAGTTTTACTGTATATTCAGTAATGATTATAACTAACAAACATTTGTTAATCTGCTATTTTACTATGAACATACAATCAGAATTTTTAATAGTTAAAGTGAACATATCTATATTATATAATGATTGTTGGTGAGTTTATATCTTAAAGTATGTTGTTATTTAAATATTGAATAATAACATAAACACTTACTTGAAGTATTCCTAACATATTTTAATTTAAATGCAAATTGTTTTATCTTAAAGAGAATAGTATTTAACAATGTTCATATCATCAATATGTTGAAAATAATTAATGTATTTATGATGTTATTCATTATTGACTACACTTAAGGGTTTAAAAGTCAACCATGGTTAAACTTATGACTAAAATTTACCCAAACGCAAACGTAAATCAATATATGATGTATAGCTATTTTAAAAGTTAATCGTACAAACATTTGGTATTAAGATATACTGCTAACAACATACAATAAACTATGAATATTGCTTGGATTGTATATGACTATAGTATATAATGATTGATGGTTTTATAATTTCAAAAAAGCACAAGTATATCTATTGTAAGTGCGAACTGTTTTAATCTAATAAAAGAGGTTTAAATACCAGATATTGTCATTAATCTGTTAGCATTACCAAATTTGGCATTGCTATTATTCATCTATGAATAAAATAAAAACGTTAAAAGTAATGAAAGTGGTTTAAGATAACATAACCTACTAAATCATAGAAACATATTCGTATTCATAAGTGTAATAGAAAAGTAAAATCTAATGGGAAAATGACTGGGCAATTTTAAGCTGCTTTTGACTCTCGTGCAAGTCTTACTTTGCAAGTCCTCCAATTACGGTTAACATATTGATTGCAACCTGTGCACATTCTGGTTTTTTTCTTTGCAGCTGCAACGGCTTTCTTAATAGCACTAACCATTCTTTTCTTAGTTCCACTACCTTTGGTATGTATAGATGCAGGTGGATGGATATTTATTTCATCAGGAATGCTGCGTATTCCAAGCATCCGAATAATTTCTTCTTCATCATTATCAGATGATGTTTGGTTGGAACTGGCAAACTCCATTGCTGCCTGCTTCAACGTACGTGTTTTTTCAACAAACTCCAACAATTTCTCTTTGCTTCTTTTGAAATGATCCAAGCAGTATTCAATATTGTTGTATGCCTTTGTTAAAAGTTTAAAGGTGTCATCTTCTATTTCCATGGCAACATGTTTCATGGCAAACAAATGGCTGGAAATTGCATCCCTTCTCCATCTTCTTAGAATATACTGCTCTGGAATCTCTTCAATATGGTTGTTTTTCAATACAGCAAAAATATGACGACACAAAATGCCAGTACGTATGAAGTGATTGCATGAACATTTAACTTCTTTTTCAGGCAGCTTTAGTTCAACCTACATTGTATAATAAAAATAATGTATGTTAGTAACTGATTGAAGTAACATATTAGTTGGTGGTTATTGCATAATAATGAAAAAATATATGTAATTTAAAAATAATTAGATATTATACTTGTATGATGACTAATGAAAAGCATTTAAACGATGAATATAACCTTGCATTTTATCTTCAACTGTTTGCTCTTATCCGTTTGTGTAATCATAACAACTTGCCACCCATCAATCTTTTCAACACTGTCGATAGAACAGTACTAGGCTGCTTTAAATATTTCCTTTTTGACCTCATAGAAAATCTTGTTTGTGTAAACCGCAGCTGCATGTTCTAGTAAGCCCCTTGGAAGCGTCATTTCATGCTTTGCATTTTTTGTATCATGTTCTAGTTTCTGTTGAGCATTTCATTGCTTTCCAATTGTGGTGTCGTAGTTCATCATGAAATAGATAAGCAAATTACCAGAGTTAGAGTATTTATTAAAAAATGAGTTCACGCTTTCAGACCTTGAAGTAGTTTTCATCAGACCGTGTAGTGGCATGTCTTTAAAATAGGCTGGACTCCAAAGTTTTCGATCCCTGTACATGTCTTTGAACCATCTTTTGTCCTGTAGTTTGAATTTTCTCATAATTAGTTTCCACCTTGATTCAAACACTTCAGGCTCGATATAGACATTCCATACAAGCTTTGTAAAACGCTTCCGAAAATCAGTGTTTTTCAAAAAATCGGCTGAAACCTAAAAAAAATAGAAATTTATTAGATTAACTATGAATAAATAATATGTATGCTAATCGTTATTAAAAATATGTAAAACTGTGTAAATCATTGTTGAATAAAACATGTTGCGTGCTAACTTAGGCCAAAATATACACACCTTGGCTTGTAGTTTTTTCATAATATGCCACATACATAAACGATGATTAGAATTAGGAAATATTGCTTCAACGGCCTGTAGAATTACTGGATCTTGGTCTGTTAACACTAATTGAGGGTGTTTCACATGTGCTTTCAAAAACGCTTCAAGCAACCAACGATAAGATTCTATTGACTCGTTGCTTAACAAACCTGCCCCAATGTTTATTGAACGTTTGTGGTTATCAATGGCTGTAAACGGCACAAAAATCATTCCATACCTGTATCAAAAAGGTAATTAAAAACAAATTCAATATTGATTACGAAGTCAAAAAAACATCTATATTCATACTTCAAAAAAAAATGTGTAATGAGTATAAGAGCATACTTATTTGTTCGGAATGTAGCATCAAATGATATCACATCTCCAAACTCCTTGTAATATAACTTATCGGTTTCATCCGCCCAAAACATTGCGTTTAACACACTATCAGCACACTTATACTCAAATGTGTAATTATGAAACTCATCTTTCCTCATGTACATTTTGTCAACAACCAGCTGTGCATCCTTGTCACCTATAATGTTTCCCACCTTCCTTCTGAAATTTTTATAATCAATTGCTTCAGGGCCAACGTTTTCATAACCTCCTTGCAAACTAGCTTGTAACTTGTGTGCCTTTGTTGCACCAATGTTAGATGTTGAAGAACGCACTATAAACTCCTTGTCTTTATAACTAAGTCGTCGTGCACGTTTGGAATACCGTCTTTCTTCTTTAGTCTCTAGGGGGTGGTTGTGATTCTCTTCAAAGTCGTATATTTTACAAGCATTAGTTTGCATATGTAACCTTTCAAACTTTATCAATGCCTTGCAGTCCGTAATTTTGAAGTTTGAGTTTCGTTTATTCCTTCCACTCCCCTCAGGATCCAAAGTGTCAGTTGATCTGTTAGGTATTTTACCCATTTTGTTGCACACTACATACCTTTTTTTAATGGTTTTGTCACCAAACCTCGTTACTGTATTTAACCTGACACCAAAACCTGCTTTATCTGCATATAATTTATACATTTCAACCGCCTCCTCTAATGATTGATATATAGCATCTACATCTGGCATAAAATCTTTAGGAACAATAGGTTTCCACAACTTGGTTTTCCCACCAGGCGAGTAACCAACATTACTATTGAATGATTCCTCTTCAGAATCAGTTCGATTTGTACCTGTTTTTTAAGACAACAAAAAACAATAATGCGACATGAAAAACCTAATATAAATTTCTATGAATTACGTATACATAAACTAAAGAACTTTATAATCATAATAAACGTATGTGAAACAGTAACCAGAGTTGAATTGTTTACATGTTTGAGTCGTATTAACGCATAATCACCAATGATTATCAAACATAATCAACATTGTATTAAACTTAAGAAAAAATCACCAACGAGGGACTCATGTACAACGATATGTGATATAAACCATCATTACGTAATTAATACATGCAACGTATATGACTAATCATAAACAAATATGTACTCGGTCTTATTCAACATATACAAAAATTCAACAACTATTGAAAAACACGATCTGTAATTACAAGATATTGACATTGTTTTCATTAGTTACCTTCACTAGCATAATCAGAGATAGGATTTCTTCCGTCGAATTGATCATCAGACTTATAGAAATCGTCGTCGTCATATTCATTACAGTTGACGTCTTCTTCGCCATATTGATCATCATGTTCTGTATCATCGCTACTGTAATCAAAACAGTCCGACATCGATATTGATTTGAATCACGAATGGTATACTGCGTTGTTATCTTCAAACGTAAATGATTAACAATATACAACATTCGACTGAAAATCCGATTGCTATACTCGATTGCTATACACGAATGGTCCCTGGACATTGTATCTTCAATTCAATATCTCATTGAGCGATAACTATGGAATATCCCTTAATTATAGGAAAATATTAATGGATAATATATTGATTATTAATTGTATTATATTAATTAAAAAATAGATTAAATACAAATTTACTTAAATACCCTAATAAAATGATTGGCTGATAATTGTTCTCACGTTCTCAACCTTTTAGACGTTCTCATTTGATCCTACTCATATATATATATATATATATATATGGTTAGGTTCATTTGAGACCACCTATATTTTGTGAGACCGTGAGAACCATTTTTTTATTTTTATTTTTATTTTTTTTATTTTTTTTTATTTTGTTTAGTTAATTCATGTTCCGAAAATAATATTTAAAAAAAGAATTTTTTGTTTTTTCCATTTATTTTGCATTTTAAAATTATTTTTAGAATATGTACAGTGTAATATTCTATTTAGAATATTTCATGTATTTTTCAAAAAAAATAGAATTTTTTTTTTATTTTTTAAATTTTTTTTAGTTAATTCAAGTTCCGAAAATAATATTTAAAAAAAGAATTTTTAGATTTTTCCATTTATATTGCATTTTAAAATTATTTTTTAGAATATGTCAATGTAATATTCTATTTAGAATATTTCACGTATTTTTCAAAAAAAAAAACGGAATTTTTTTTATTTTATTTTATTTTTATATATTTTTATATATTTTTATATTTTTTTTAGTTAATTCAAGTTCCGAAAATAATATTTTAAAAAAGAATTTTTAGATTTTTCAATTTATTTTGCATTTTAAAATTATTTTTAGATTTGGTATCACAGTCTCACAAAATTAGAATGGTATCAAATGAACCTGAACCTATATATATAATAGAATAAAAGTAAGAATAAAACCAATTACAATTAAAATCGAGTGAAGATGGGCGCTTGGTTTCTAAGTATAAAAAAGAAGACTACAATAGTGTACATAATTTCAAAATAAGAGAAAAAACCATGTTAAAGGAACGACCGTTTTAAAGGGTAGAAAAGGAAAACTCTAAATTTATTAAGCGGATGGATCAAAAGAAGTGGAAATATCACTTCCATGAAAATCAGTTGTGTGTGAAGTCTCAACATATATTTGTTGGAAAATTGTCCTTAGGAATATGGTTGCTAAAAGTTCCCTATGGCAGGAAATTGTTTTTGGGAATATGACTTATCAAGGTAATTAACTTTTCGGTATGTTCACATCTGGGTAACTATCTTTTTTTTTGTACATATGTAGGTAACAAACTTTTTGGGAGTGTTCACATATATAACAAAATTAAAAAGCAAACTTTTTGGAACCGATAGTATGGACAAAATTAAATAGTATGGACAAAATGCAACAACAAACTGTTGCGTAAAGTTGTTAACTACACTTTTTTTTTTGGAACCGATAATAATTTATAAAAAGCAACAGCCATCATGAAACAGGCTGGGCAAAAAAAAAAAAACAATTACTTAGTGAGTAAAAGATATAATTTTCTTTATCATGATACACTCTATAATAAATCACATGAAAAACTTATATAATTTTTTTTCTTAGTAAAAACAAAACAAAATGCTTTTTTATTAGTAGAAACATTTTTAATTGATGGAGTTTTAGAAATATAAAGAAAAAAAATTGATCAAAAAATGTTTTTTTATAGGTAGAAACAGGATGAACAATTTTTGAACATATAAAAAATTTATTGTGAAATAATAAATATGCATGAGGAACTAAGTATTAAAAGTAATTATAAGGTCTAACTATTTACAAGGGATGGACTCAATATTTTTTATTTTTATTTTATTATGTGTTTTAGTTAAGTGTTATCATGCTTTTTGGAACGGAAAATAATTTTATAGAGTAAAAGCCATTGAAATAAAGATCAAATATAATTTTTTTTATTTTCTTATTTTATTAGTTTTATTTTTATTTTTTTAGAAACAACTAACGATTTTATAATTGAGTTACACCTAGCAAGAAGCTAGATGAGCCCAGCAAGAAAAGTACAAAAAAAGGTTACAGGGGAAAGAAAAAGGAACAAGAAGCAAAGAAATACACCACATTATAAAAGAGAAAAAGGATATACAATCCAATCACACCACCGAATACTTCCCATTTGATCCCCTGTGTTTTAACTAATAGAAGATCAATGCTTGAATGCCATTAATAACCTGGGTTGGACTCCTTTTCTCCTGATTGAACATCCTAGCATTTCGGGCTTTCCAAAGACTCCAGATCATCCCGTAACATATCATCGTAAGTATTCTCCTTTTCTTCAAACATTGACTCCAGTTGGCTGGAAAATATAAGAGTTTCTTTGTGCTATCAATACATCCCAGATTAATACCACACCAATTCACGATCCAGTTGAACTCTATAACTGCTAACTCACACTGAGTGAAAATATGGTCTTCTGTTTCGACACTATTCAGACAATATCCACAATTTGCTGATGATGTTTGAACCCCTCTAACTTCCAACGCCTGCGCTGATGGGATTCTACCCTATTTGGGCCTCCAGACAAAACACCGTACTTTGAGTGGGGCTTCTTTTAGCCATTCAACTTTAGGACCAGGTAAGATAGGGGTAAATTCATCCAGTTTATTCTGGAAAGCCTCCACCGTATACATCCGATTCACTCTAATTGTGCAAATCCAAGTATTTGGTGTGTTTGATATACGAGCCTGCCCCAACGACGCTTCGAGATGACCTAGGTTTCAGTTCAGATGTGGTTCCATGGGATCCGAGTTCCAGTCCCATGTGAATCCATTGTTTGATATATGTTGACTAAGTAGACATCTTTTCCTGCAATCAATGTTAAATAATTTCGGGAACCTCAATTTTAAAGTTTGATTTCCCCACCAAACATCAACCCAAAATAATGTGTCTCGTCCATTCCGAATCGCCTTTTTGAAAATATTGTTGTGTTCCAATCCAGCTTTCTGAACTTCATTTGATGCCCCTGCTATGTTATTCCACACTCCACTTATAGTCTTTCTTGAAAGTTGGTCGACTCCCCGCTTCTTAAGATTGTGTATCCCACTGATGATGTGACACTACAAGGCAGATTGGTCCACCCTTAGTCTCCACCACCACTTGACCATAAGTGCAATATTTAGATTGCAAAGCGATCCCACCCCAAGTCTACCTTTCTCAAGTGAAGTAGTGACTCTATCCTACGGTACCCAATGAATTTTGGATCTATTCTCACACCCACCCCACAAGAAATGCCTTCTGATATTTTCTAGCAATTCTTGAAGTCAAAAAATAGATGCTCCAACTAATGTCTCAACCACGAGCTGCTTCCCTTGGCGCCTTCCTCCGCTAATCAATAACGGTTACTAAAACCACTAAATCATGACAATGTTGAATAACCATCCTATGGGACCTGGTCCGCAGACCTCCAATATAATACCCTACTTCCTAAAGTGCTCCAATAAATCTCACGATATAGGCTCTAGAAATCATATCATTCAGGGTATCGCACCTGACTCACTCGCCAGCTCGATCATCCACAGCTGAACTATAGTAGCTGAAACAACCTCTACCCTAAACCGGCCACAATTACTCCCAAGATATAGTCTCCAATCCCCAAAAGTGCAATAGATCGCACAATCAATCCTTATTGTCAGATACAAGAGATTCAATGTGATTCGGGTCTTAGCTCCTATGGTCGGAATGATAATCGCGTATGCCTCACGAGATACTCATGCCACATCAACCCACTTGCGCTCACCAACACTGAAATACTGTCACCAACCCCTGCGACTAACTGACCCCGAGCTGGAATACAACATGATCTTGGGGTCACAAGTCTACTCACTCCTTCGAGCTCAAAAACAGCGAGAGAATAATCATTGCCTACAAAACGACAACCCAATCCGTCAAATAATCATTCCACTTTCAGCTGCAAAACCACGACTGAACATAATCATCTCCCCTTTACGGAGTCCCCGCGACTCACATTCCGACCTTGAGCAAACCCCCGAGCCTCAAATCTAGAAACTAATGTGCTAGCCTCTCCCACTCAACCCGTGGAATATAACGACTACAAAATATCTCCCTGATCTCAAGTAACCACAGTCCTCTGCTCATCAGAATATGTCCCAGCAACAACTCCCGATAATGGAAAGCTCGACCAGCTCGTCCCGCTGCTGTCGTTACAGTTGCTATAGCTGCCGCGACAACCGTCTCGGCAATGGTTGCATAGGATTTGTTGAAATACCTAACAATGGCAGTCTTAATAGACCCAAACATCTCTGACACCGGTCCCCACACAACCCCGATCACCTCCTCCTGGATGATCTCACTGACACGGTCCTCTTAGAATGCTGACCTATCCTGCCTGCCAGCTCCCGATCCTAACCTGGATCCGGTCTAAAGTCATCTCGTAACCACCATTCTGGTAAAACACCAGAAGGATCACTTATAACCCATATAATGATAGGGAACCAACTCCCAACCTAACCCTAGGGGTTGTGACTTCCTTGCTACGCGTATGGGTCCTATGCTTTCAGTAGTACGGACGCATACTACCTTCCAAGCCTACCCATATTTATCTCAAGTATCACCACAACACCCTAACGATATACATACACATGATGGTCGCCCAACCTCAATCCTAGAGGAATGCTAACTGTATCACAACTGACCTACCGGTCTCACACAACCCACCCATCTATGAAATTTCCACCAACCCTGCAACACCAGTGTATGCTAGTCATACATAATGCTGGACCCTATAGACTTTTGAATACTTGATCCTACCTTAACCCCTTCATCAAACAACAATACGAAATAGGGCCAAACAAAACATTCTCAATCTATAAGATCTTAGTTATGTACGACCGTGATGCATACACTAAGCAACTACAATGATGATGTTAATCTCATATAAGGAAAACCCTAGGCAACCAGGCATCATGTAATAAGGCAATTATATCATTCAATTCCTGAAGATCCCTATCCTAGCACTAGC